AAACTTCCTCCGCGTGTTTGTGCGAAAGAACCGTTGGCTCTCGAGAGCAAAACTCTCCTGTGGCCAACGGGCGTGAGGCTCTCCGATCTGCTATCTTTCGGAATAAACCCCATACTCCGTTCAAACGGCGATTTAATTACTACTTTACGGCACCAAGAAGGGAAAGTCCTTCGATACCGATCGGGACACCCGTCCAAAGGAAAAGAGTTCCGATCTGGTAGCGGAGCTTCTTCCGCAGCGATTCACGGAGGCTGCCATCTTTGAGAACGGACCATACGCGCCATCTGAACGACGATTTAAGCAGCCCTGGCGCCGATCAAGTGTATTTTCCAGGTAAGACTTAGATAGAAATCTAATGTTAGAAGAAGTAGTGTAGCCACGAGGGGGTTGAGCGCGGTGACGAAAAAGGGGGGACGACGACAGCTCGAAATCCAGTTTCTGGCCGACGGGAGACGGCCGATTTTCCCAAGCTCTAAGGCTAGCAGGCTGTTTTTTGTTCAGCGGAATTCCTGAGCGCCGGCGGCGGCGGCGGAGGAGGCGGAGGCGGAGGCGGCGGGAGGATGGGCGTCGCGCGCGCCTGGTGCATTTACTCCCGTGACTCCAGGCGGCCAGGGGTATCGCAAAAAAAGGGAAAGACGAGAGCCGTAGTCCACAGGTAGACGCATCGAAATCGAGAGGGGTGAGACTGGTCGTGAAACGCACGCTGAGAGTCGAGCTGAGCTGAAACTGCGAGTCGACGACTCTCACCCGCCAACCCCGTTGCGCGGATAGTGCGCCCGAGCGAGTCGAAATCAAAGTCAGACTCGGGGAACAAAACGAAGAAGATCGAGGACCGCTCCAACTAACCCGGGAGGAACAATGTGCGCGAATTAGCAAACTATATCTGCCGATACTAGTTTCGAACGTGTCGAATTTGTTCGTTTTCAATGGCGAACAATTGGAAATAAAAGTTCTGGGACAACGGATGCGACGGAGCCTCCGTTTTCCACTGTTCGAAATTTTTATACGTATTTTTTTGTTCTATTCGAAAAATTTAAAGGTATCGATACCCTCGTTCACGGAGGTAACGGACGCGAGAAGCGTAGAGAACTACGTGGTAAAATTGTCCTCTCTGTCGTTATTATTGAATAACGGTTGAGAAAGTAAAGGAAGATCGAGTTAAAAAGTACTCTACGCCAATGGGATCCGCAACGTTTGCTAGATAACGCGCAACGTTCCAATAATACCGCGTCCTTCCTCTCGTTTGTTTCGTTTTCTCTCGAAGAACGGGAAAATTTCAATCAGGAAACGCATATACTCCCGTCTTGCAATTTGCGAGAGCACGATCGCGACTGTTTCCCTCGGACGATTTCCGAGGACAAGATTATTCCCAAAAGTAATTTCTGTTCCCGTAATCTCCGCGCCCCGTTTATCGTAAAGCTTCGCGGAACGCTATCCCTCCGTCTCCATCTTTCTTTTTCACTTTCTCGTTCGCTCTTCGGGTACGTAACTTTCTATGCCTTTAGCTATATTCTTTGATTTCACCTTGTAATTATAATTTATCGCCGACCGATAATGTACCTCGTACCGTTTCTTCCTGTTGATATTGGGGAACTTTCCCGTAAATAAATAAATCGAATCGAATCGATTTCCTTCGCGATTAAAATTGGAATCGTGGCTCCCCCTCCGGGGGGAACGCAAAGTTATTTTGAAAAATTCGATATTTAACGTAAGAGCGGCTTCAACGGTTTTCCTATAAGTGGCGAAAATATCGAGAAAGTATCGTACATACCGGCGAGAAATTGCGTAGATACACGTTATACAAGGTATCCGAAAAAACGAATAAAAAAAAAAACACGTACCTCGATAATCGCTCGATATCAAACAGCGATCGTGTCCGGTCGTGTTCGAACGAATACAAAAATTTATACACAAATCGTATCGTGTGTATTTTATTTAATTTTTTGGGGAGAGAATTAATACCGGAATAGAATAACCAGAGTAAAATAAATTTTGAATATGTCGGAGGAGCGTGTAATGAAAAGGCCTCTATCGGGCCGTGGCCCAGGGTGCTTTCGATTAACGGAAATTTCACACGAGACGAGCGCGACGTTCGAAGTGGCTCCATAGAGTAGCGTATCAAGATTCGCCGGTCAATTTATCCTCCTGCGAATGCGAATGACCGGGCAGAAAGCTCGCGAACACGAGCAGCATCAATGTTAAGAGCATCTTAACACAGACTGATGAGAATACGAGGTTAGTTGCATGCAGCTGTCACGGCACTTGGTCGGCGAGCGTATCGTCGGGGCAGTTGCAGACGGGATCGTTTCGTTCCGGCGGAGACAAAATGGACACGAGTATTCGCGTCAGGGACTGTACCGCGGCGAGACGCGTTTAACAGCCACGTAGGGCCATCTCGAATATTGGTTATAAAGTATCGCGCCGCGTCTCAACGAGTCGCGTGATTTATACGCCGACCGGTGGAAAGGGGGGCGCGGACGAGAATTCGCGGGAACAGCGAATCACAAAGAATATTCCGCTCCCGGAGACGCCGCCGCACGCACATTTACGATTATTATCGCGATCGTAAACGAGATTCCAGCACGTTTCCGAACCAACGGCCCCCGATCGAAGCGCCGCTGTGCAACAACCAGAGAGCTGGATGCTCCGATCCAGCCATACTCTGCCTTCTTTTCTTTTTTTTCTCCATTCTACGGACGCACACGTACGGCGTTTGCTATGATACTCGCGATATAACAATAAGAAGAAGAAGAAGACTCGAAATCCAACGGGTTTTCTACACAAATTGAGAGACAACGACGAGCCAGATGACGAGGAGAAGAAAGATACGATTCATCGATTCTGTTTCGCTAGAATCTAGAGAAACGTAGTTGGTTGGATATTTCTAAACGGCAACCTTTTGTTGGCAGCGTGAGGTTTTCGCGTCGGTATTAGAAATCGTGACTCGGTATCGCATGAAAACGAACCTTAATTCGTATCCTCGGCGAGCGCAACGAAAGAGCAAGAAGCGAGGGGGGGCCCGCGAAACGGAGGAAACGCGGCAAGGGAAGACCCGAAGTAGAACGAGAAGCAGAAACAAAGGACAGGCTGCCGCGGAGGAAAAGAGAGAGAGAGACCGCGGAGGTGGGACGCCGAGGGAAAGGAAGATGGGACAGGGATGCGAAGTATGCTCGCAACGAGGACGCGAAATACAGCTAGGAGAAGCTAGAGATGCCAACATAACAGGCTCTCTGTTCGTGCATAAGCGCCCGACGCACGCTGGCCAATTTGATTAACTCGACCAGATAACATTTCTGGAAATTATGAATAATCCATTTAATTTCTCAGAATAGACGTTATGAAGTAACTAATTCCGGTAAAATTACCTGCGATTATCAAGATAAACAGTCTTTGAAATTAACCACGAACTTAGTAGAAAACGAGATAAGGAAATGTTTTCTTTTCCCTGTAATTGGTTAGCAAACGTTAATAAAACATCGTGCGGTGTTTATATTTAGTGTTCCCGCTCCGGGTAATGTAAAGGAAGCTATAACTTTTTTTTTGCCTCTCGTCCATTGATATACAGTGTGTTCTTCGAAATGGCTATGGATGGATAAAAATGTCGCGAGGGAAAATTACGGTGTGCCTTGTGGATAGAATTCTGCGCATTTTTTTCAAACGAAACTCTGGTAATTTTGTCGGATATCTACGAAAAACTCAGCAGCCTGATGTAAAGTTTACTAAATCATATTTACGCGTAAACTTGTTTGAGTATGCACTCGTTGGGCACAAATAAACCATTAAAACGATGGTTTCCCGTTTTAAAAACGTAACTACCGTGTTATACGGAGGTTGACTGTACTAAGGGGGAAAAAAGGAAACTATTGACTCGGTTTTATAATGAAGTATTATATTGTTAAAATCGGCCATTGTGGATGGCGGAGGTTCGATCGCGAGGCCACACGCTAATCTGTGTGTTTCGCGCACACAAATTCCGCAGCTTGTCTGGATCCGACCGGTCGCGACTGCACGTTTTTCGAAATACAAGAAAGTTATGAAATATCGTGAGCGCCGTGAAACTTTTAATGCGAGGTCCGGTGGCTCGGTTGCCCCCCGTCCCCCCCTGCCCCCTTTCCGCCCGCCTCCTTCTTCACCCCCTTCGCGTTCCCCTTCCTTCGGCTATATAGAATACACCTGGCCGTATAACCGAAGCCTGGCTCTGCTCGCGTGGCGTGGGGTGGCGCGGCTAACTTTTTTATTAAAAAAGTTTTTCGAAATAAAAATCAGACCCGCCCGCGGAGAGCAGGGGGGGGGAGGGAACCCTCGCACACCCACGCTCAAGAATATACACTCGGGCGGGTCGGGGCGCGGTGCAAGTTCGCGGTCGCATGCACGGAATCGTATTAGGTAGACGCATCTGCTCATAGTTCGCGATCGTTTCTCATACGCGGAGAGGGCTAACGGACGAGAAACCCGTTCAACTTTGATTTCCACGTACGGCCCCCCGTCCCCCTTCCACGCAACCGCCCATAGGCGTCGCCGTTCGAACGATACCGTCAAGAAATCGCGACTCCGGAATAAATCTCCAGAAAAATGCTTGCTTTTCGACCCGCGGGGGGAAAAAAAATCGACCATCCCCCTTCAGCCTTTTCGTCTATGTTGGGACGCTCTGTACACGCCGAGCAGACGTCTGAAGCGCATTTTAACTCTCGAAAGTACCCTCTGGCTCCCATAATGCATATCGTAGATACGATTTATATTATCTCGGAATGCGATGTTGCGAGGCTGGGCATAGACGTAACCGTCGCCGGAACGATAAGATTGCGATCCAGGCTAGAATTAAACGCGATCGACCAACCGACTGGTCCGTCGATCGTGACTAACCGTCCGGAGGGCTCTCGAAATTTTCACTGTCTAACAGCATCTCTCAGAAATAATAATAGAAACTTGATGCAATATTTCCAAGTATCAACATTCTGTGTACACCTTGTTAATATCTTTAAACAACAAGGTTTACTTACATCAGTGGTTTCCAATCTCTCGGGAAGGCGCTCCCCTAAAAATGAAAGAAAACTATTTTAGTCGAAATTAACCAAGGGTTGTATCATGGTGTTAACACTTCACAAACACACCGCGAATTTTTTTAAGGTAATATAACAAAATTTGCGACTCTACAAAATGTATTTGTTCGTATATGCGAAATGTTTAAGACCTATTAAAAATTCGTAAAGCCAAAAGTGTAGCCTGTCTCGAAAATTGCGAATCTGTTGCGAGAACCAGAATAGAACGACCAATCACTATCCGGTGGCCGGACATAGGCGTCGCTGTTGGCGCGACACGAGCCGGACCGGCGATATTTTTCTTCGAAACGAACCCGTCGTTTATCCTTCGAGAGCCAGGGTCGCCGTCTTCCCGTCAGTAACATTTCTCTCGCGCGCGCGTAAATAAAATTTTTTCCCCAATAGCCGATGTTCGAAACAAACAAACCACTCAACGAGTCCGGCCGCCGGAACGTCCGGAGGCACCTCCCCCCTTTGATATGGGTCAACCAAAACCGCTTCACCCTCAGCCCCTCGACAGTCAGACCCCCCCTCCCCCCGTTCGCGACGAATCCGTCGCTGCTCCCTCGCGCTCGCGCGCTCACGTTCGATCACACCCATATAAAGCTTGATTCCCACCAGTCCGATTCGTCCGATACTCCGCAGAAAATATTATAATTATAAGAAACATCTCCTTCCTACCTTCGCGCGCAAATAAATTTGCTTACGTAGCTCCAAAAATTAAATATTTATTCTTAGATACTTTGCTCGCCCCTCTGCCTCTTTGTTCCCCCGTAATACTGTATTTTCAGAATTGTTCTCTATCCAGAGATTAGGGGATGCTCTTCTATGGAGAAAATCACTGGTGGCTGGTTTTTACAACCCCGATATTCCTCAGTACCCGATCAACTGAACTCCTGTACGATTCACTTATCCGAACGGGAATTAATATTTCAGATTTAAATGAACTGCTGCTGTAGGAACTATCTGTAAAATACTGTACCGACCAGTAGCCAAGAGGGAAATCTCGAATCCCAGGTTTACTGTTTCTCCTGGTCTCGAATATCGTGTAACTATAAGGTGGTTGCTCTACTACCGATCTTCTTGGATTTCATCCACTCGCCGAGGACTTTCTTTTCTATCATTCGCGGCAAACAAGACATTACCGTCAAATCTGAAATGGCTGAAAACCACTTAAGGGTCGTTTACGCTCGAGCGACGCCGACACCAAATTCAAGACTCGGCGAGCATAAGCAGACCCGTCCCCTCGGGTGTGAATGCATCTCGCGTAATGACTGGTGTCCACTCGAGGAGTCGCTATCGAGAGTAAAAGCCCTTTCGCACCAGGAAGTCGCCTCGTTACTCCTAATTATTTGTCAAGTAGAAAAATACTTTGCGATTCGAACCGTTCGTCTTGGGGAAAACCTACTTCGGGATAACAACTTCGCGTCCGGGCTCTATTTTAATTACACTGGCTTTGGAAAGATTTGTAGAAAAAACTTGATTTTCAAGGGGGTTAATTTGGAGAGCAAAACATGCTCGACTTTGTATTCTAAGCGGAGACTCCAACTGATTTCGTGCGATTTCAAAGAGATTCGTCGGGGTAGAGGGGCCTTGAAAGACTTAACAACTACGACTTTTTGCTATAGAACTAAAACAATTAATTCTCAAGTTGAATGATGAGTGTAGAATGGAAGTTTTGGTCTGGCAGTGAACGGAGGCAGGCAGGCACACACGTGGTCGTATGTTGGCGTAAGATCGGAAAAGGCGAGATGGTGAGGGCACGGTAGGTTGGGTGTTGGGCCGTTATGGTCGGCAGGCGGCTAGAAACAATGTTATTTTCCGTGGAGCGTCCCTCGAGCGTCGGTGGGCATCGTATCAAGCTATCGTGCACGTAGACGCGGCTGCACAGAGAAAACGGGCGTGCGTACAATCGGAGAAACTGCGAAAGCGACGGCGTCGTAGCAGAGGGTACCAACCAGCCAGGAGGAGGCCGAAGAGGAGGCGGAGGTGGACGAGGAGGAAGAGGAGGAGGATGAGGAGGAGGAGGGTGGAGGTGGAGGACGAAGCGGACGGAGAAAGAGGCGGAGGAGGCACAGAGAGAAGCGGAGGTGGCTCGTTCGGGGGATCTTTATCAAAGTCAACGCACGCCGGTCACCATGGCAACGAAATTGGATTTTTTTTTTCGAAGTTTTTTCGGCCCTTCTCGCCGGCGCCCATTCCCCGTAGGGGGGCGACGGGGTCGGAGAGTCGAGGGGCCGAGGGGCCGAGGGGGAGGCGGTGGTGGAGGCTCGACGGAGGAGATGGCGGTGGCGGTGTCGGCGGCGGCGGCGGCAGTGGCGGCGGTGGCGGAGGGAAAGTGGTAGGAGAGGCCGGAGGAAAAGAGAAAATGCCAGAGAGAGAGAGAGGGAAAGAGAGTATCGAGAAGGTCGGGGAGGCTCTGACGAACGGCGACCGGGGAAGCCAATAATTCGAATTGAGAACAGCCAATGGCCGTGCATCTGATTTTTTGTCGTATCATCGTCGAGGTCGTCCGCCCTCTCCCCAAGCCCCCGCGTTGCTCCCCCACTCGGCCGCCCCCCTTGCATCCGCGCGACGAAAGGGGCCGCTCTGCCTTGCTTTTTGTAAAATCTCCCATCCTCCACCCGTTCCAGCCGCCGCCGCCGCCGCCGCCGCCGCCACACCGCCATCGTTCGCCTCTGTCCTTCTCGGTCTTCTCCTCCTCCTCCGCCTCCTCCTCGTCGTTCTAACTCTTCGTTGTCCTGGCTCTCCTATGGTGTTTTGCTGGGATATACAAGGCACAGGATACGTGTGTGCATCGCTCGTAGGTGCAGCGACGATGCGCCGGCGAGAAACCGAGCGCACAGGCCTCCAAGAGGGAAGCGGATAGACGACGATGTCTCTTCCTCTCTTAGAGATACTCTTGACCCTCCGAGTTACACTTTGAATCGTTCCCACCGTGCTCTCCGTACTTGCAACTAGCTTTCGACTCTTCGACGTCTTCATAGATTTCGGGGTGTCGATGCTCAGATATTCTGGATCTTTAGCGAAGAACGAACAGCACAAAGCATCGGCTAACAGCATTACCATTACGAAAATGTAATTCATGGACGAAAAGGCTTATCGAACGTCGCTCAGGGGCATCCTCTGTAGCTCCGAGCGCTCTGGCCAATGTCTCCGACCCAAAATCCAACGGTGGTTTATTTTTCTTCCGATCGACGTCTCCGGGATATGACTCGTTAGCCGATAACCTACGCACTCCCGTTGCAAGTAGCATGATTCATCCAGGTAGGTCGACCCGCAGAGAGAATGTCCCCGGATTCGATTCGGATCTTTCGAGATTTCGTATCCCACGGACTAATAGCATCGGCCATCTTTCATTTCAGTTTCTTGCCGAGTATTCCGACTAGTTATCTGGCCTAGAATCCGGGGCAGGTTTATCTTTCTCTTACGAGGCGGTCGTTTCGGCTCGGAGGAGTCGAGTTCGCCCCGTCGAGGCATCGGGGCAAATATCCTTGATCGTGGACGGTTTATACGAGGCGATAAGGACGCGACAGATCGCACGGAAACAGTGATCCTTATTTATCCACGCGAGCTCTCATTACGATTTCAATGACGCGCACGGAGCGGAGAGGATTCGACTGGGGCCAAATATAAATGGCCCTTGGTATTATAAAAATACGTTCGGCCGACAGGGGCTGGTTCTCTTCCGTGTGTTGGAGACAGAGAGCCTAGGCCACGGCCTTCGTCGACGAGCTTTCGGCGTCTCGGGTTAACCCTAGAGCACCACGTGTCATTTTTAGGCGCCGTTACCCGTCAACCTCGGATCCATCTTTACTCGTACCACCCATTTTCTCTGCACAATCGGAAATTACAGTTTCCATTTCGTATTATGAAATAGTTCCGAGTTGCACGAAGATACTTGGTCCAAATTTTGAGACGAAACTCGCGTAAACAACCTTGTTGACAACGACGGAAAAGGATCACCATTATTAAGTCATTAGCGTACGATAATTGAGAAGCCGATAAAACTGTTTCTCGGCGTGCTTGTAAAGCGATAACTCGTCCCAAGTTGAATTTTGCATTCACAATATATAATTCAGCTAAACTGGTAACTTTAATGGGGCTTGAAATAATTCATATAACGCAGGACTAAGAATAGTCTACAGGGGATCCTTTTACGCGAGTTCCATTTGGCAGTGCCATAAGCGAACCTGGCGAACCATTATTAGCACACAGAGGGGAATTATTGAGATTGGAGCGCGCTATATAATCGAAATTTCAATCAGAAGTTAACCATCGGGGGTTTCCCAATAACTGCACTAAACTGAAACAGAGTCTACGAGGTAAACAATTTTTTTTAAGTAAAAAAACGATTAAAATCCTCCACAATTTTTTGACCACTGCTATAATCATCAAATTCGAACGAAACGCTTTGGGTGGCCCAGTTATGGAAGAAGACCGTGATTAGTTTGGACATCGAGCGAAGGGTTAAGAGGTAAAGGGAAGAAAAATGGAGGGCTGTAGGTGGTTGAAGGTGGGCTCTCGTTGCACACCGAGTTGTCCTTTTGAGAATCTCGCGAGTATCGCGTACCGAGCGAGCCGCGTACACGCTCCGTGCGTCCCCTCCCATCGGCGCTCCTTCCTGGGCCACAGTGGCGGCGCGAGTTCAAAGCTCGAGAGCGGGAAAGAGTGCGGGAACTTCCGGTGGAACGATCCGACGAGCCAGGCATTCCGTGGCTGCGAAGTTCGAGGCTCGCCGGGCCCGAGGCTCGCTCTTAATGGCGGCAAATTCAGCGGCGGAAGTGTGCTTTAGAGTTCTCGAGCGCGACTCGAAGCGATCGAGCCGAACGAGATCGTTGTTTGCTCCGCTGAAGCTGTTTCGTAAACAGCTGGTCGACGACCGCCTCCGACGATGTTCGCGCGTCCCTCGAGGGCTCGCTCGAGCGCCTCCTTCTTCATGGAAATGAATTATTTCCACGGGGACACGGATTTTAGCAAACACGAAAATTACGAA